GCGAATGTTTCGGTGAAGTCGCGTCCGTGTTCCTGGTCGAAGCCGCGTACAACCCAGCGTGCTTTGAATTTGTCGATGGTGCCGTCTGCTTTTGTTTTCACACGGAAGACCCACTTTCCGGTGAGTATAGTCTTGTTTCGTGCCACACTGATGGGAACGACTTTCCAGGTGTTGCGCTCCTCTAGTGCCTTCAATTCCCTGTCCATGGCTTCGCGCCATTTTTCCCTGTGCTCCCCCCCCAGAGCCTGCTGAACCGTCGCAGGCTCCTTAGGAATCGCAGTGCCGTGGACCGCGGTGACTAGGCCAAGTATCTGGAGGCCACTCTGTGTGTAGCGGGGGAGTGTGGTATCCGCGGGATAAGCTGCTTCGTCACCTACTTCTGGGTCAGGTATGAAGTTGGGCCCTATGCGTTCTGCTTCGTTGGTGTTGACTTCTGCAGGTGTAACGTAACCGTTGTCGGCGAAGTGGTAAAATACTTCGGCGTTGACGCTTTCGCGAGGGTTTTCGTCATCCATTGGGACATCGACGGAGCAGTACGGGAGAGGTCCGGCTTCCTCCGAGGCTGCGTCCACGTTCTGCTCGTCCAAGTCAGCTTCGTCCGCTGCGGAAGCGAAGGCTCGGTCTCCACGAAGTCCACTGGTGAGGTCGCGTTGTTCTTCCACGTTGGCTAGGTAGGAGTCGAGAGTGAGTCGTTCGTAGAAAATCACATCACGTGCTGCCACTGTTTCCTTGGTATGGACGTCAAAAATCTTCCATGCGTTGTAATTCTTTTCGATGCCCAGTTGTAGTCCCCACTGTGCGCGTTGGGAGAATCGGCCGGCTCGTGGAGATGGGGGTCGGTACTGTACCATGCAGCCGAAGACTCGTAACATTTTTGTGCTGCCCAATTTTCCTGTCCACAGCAGATGCGGTGATGCGTTGTTCGGGAGCGATGATGACGAGAGCAAGTTGTGCAGCGTGACGGCGTGGTCCATTGCTTCGGGCCACTGGTGGTTGGGTAGCCGCATGCCACGTAGCAGTTTGCGCATGGTGTTCTGAAGGGTCCTGTTCATTCTTTCTGCTACACCCTGCTGTTGATGGGCGTAAGGAAGGGAGATGAGCCTCTTGATTCCCTTCTCTGCCAGGTAGTCCTTGAAGCGTTGTGAGGTATATTCTCCGCCTCCATCTGACTGAAAACTCTTTAGCTTTACTCCGGACTCTCGTTCTGCTGCTGGAAGCCAGGCGACGAAGGCTTCGAAAGCTATGTCGCGACTCGGAAGGTTCAGGTGCCAAACGTATCGGGTGGCGGCGTCGATGAAGGTGATGGTGTAGTTGTAAGCTTCTTGTCCTGGTACGCGATTGTACAGGATGTCGCTGTACACCTTTTCAAGTGGTGCGTATGCTGGTGCACTCGGGTTGTGGTGAGGGACAAACGGATGATGCGGTAAGTCGGCTTCAGGACATGTGAAGCACGTTCCGCGGACTCGTTGGAGTTCTCTCCCGTCATGTAGTAGGAGCGAATCTTTGTCCAGCACTCCTGCTCTTATTGTGTTGTTTAACGTTGTGTTGCTTGGGTGTCCCATCCGTGCATGCCAGATTTCTTCGCTGGCGCGGTGTCCGGGTGAGCGTCGGTACATGTCGGAGTTGGAGTAGAAGCTGGCGGTGAAGTTGGCGCTTCGATGAACTTCTCGTGGTGCCGGGTTTAGCTGCTGCGCGGGTGTCGGTGGTGTGTCATCGACGAAGATCGGTGCCGTTGAAGGACCAGCGATTGGTGTTGATGTTGCCACTGCTGTTACCGTTGTCTCTGCTGCTGCTGTTGTTGTCTCTGCTGCTGCCGATGTTGTCTCTGCTGCTGCTGATGTTGTCTCTGATGCTGCCGATGTTGTCTCTGCTGCTACCGATGTTGTCTCTGCTGCTGCCGATGTTGTCTCTGCTGCTGCCGATGTTGTCTCTGCTGCTGCCGAATGTTGAATTGTCGCTAACGCTCTTGTTCTTTCTGCTTCAGGGATGGTTTCCGAGTACCAGAAGCCTCCAGGACTGAAGTCTGGGTCAAGATCCGGTGGATGTGTCCAAGAGGTGAAGTTCACGATGGCGTCGCTGTCAGCGGTGCCAAGGTCCGGGACGAAGTCGAGAACGAAGACGTTGTTTTTCAGCACTGCCTTCCCGATATAGAGACCTCCCCTGCCGTTATACAGTTTGAACTCCTGTGTAGTGCTGTCTGCTTCGAGATGGATACCCTTCGCCATCAACTGACTGACGCTCAGTAAGTTGTAGCCGAGTCCCTCCGCAATTAAAACTTTTGACATTTGTAGAATGACGTTTGTCTCTCGCGACTGAAGTTGTACAATTCCTTGTCGTCGTGTGCGCAGGTTCTGATTGTTGGCGACGGTGATGACGACTTCGCGTTGAAGCTGGTGCTCGCGCTGAACGAAACGTCCCGAAGAGCACATGTGCTGCCCGCAGCAACTATTCAGGAACCAAGTATCTTTTCCGGACGGCTCACTTTGGGCGATAGCTGCGTATGTCGGATTCGGTTGAAGTGACTCGCGGCGAGGTGTAGTGTTGTCGAGTTGCTCTTCCGGTGAGTAGTGTGGCGGTGACTCGGTGATACAGGAGTCGCTCAGTCTTGCCATACAACTGACGATGTTTCTTGCTCCTTGTGCAGATTGTCCCGTTGATGTCGTTTGAACTTGAGCGTAGTGAGGTTGAAGCGACTTGGCTGCTTGAAGGTCAAAGCTATCGCTGTGGCGGTGTTGACTGTTGTCGATTCGGGGAGTGTGTGCGCGGGTGTCCTGGCGTCTTGCAGAGATGGCAGAACGGAGGTACCGGCCTTGGTTGTTGTCGGCTGTTGTTGTTGTTGTAGCGTCGCTGAGTGTGAAACGCGAATTCGGGTACTGATGTTTTCTTCTTGTGCCGTTCCTCTTGCAGGTCCATGTCTTGCTGCTCGGCGTGAATTTCGGCGCAGAGTGCTGCTTCGGAGATCTTCCCGTGAGCTCGGAGAATAGCTCGAGTGGAGCGCCAATGAGGACCAAGTCCAGTGATGACGACTGTGACGAAGGCTTCTTCAGATATCGATCCACCGCATCGAATGAGTTTGTCGCGTAGTTCGCGGCAGCGGCTGATATACGCCATTCCTTTTTCGCCTGGTTTCATCTCGACTGTTGTCAGTTGCGCCATCAACCGACTCTGATTTACGCTGTCTGTTGCTTGATACAGGCTCTTCAAGTGGTTGTATGCGAGTTCGGCGGAGTTGCCATATCCCCGGTAAGACCGTATATTCTGCTGCTGATTTGGAGTGATGTTCCTCAGTAGAATCGTGTACGCCATCATTGACTGATATGTGTACTGCTGTTTGTCATACTGTGTGCCGTGTGTTGTGTATGGCAGGGATCCGTCGAAGAAGCCAAGAATCTGCGCGCCTTCCATCATCAATTCGAACTCGAATGACCAGATGAAGAAGTCCTTTCCGTCGAAGGGCCTTGACGTCTGCAGTTTTAAGACGTGCGCGAACTGCGACTGAACTTGAAGTGCGTCCAGTGTCTTCTCTTGTCCAGGTGCAGGCTGCGGTTGTGGCATAAAGCTGACGGAGCCGCGCTGGGGCTCGTACGGAGCAAAGGTAGGTTGCTGCTGTTGATTTCCACGTGCGTAGGATGAACCATCAAGGCTCATTAGAGTCACGTTGTTGTTGTTGTTGCTGTTGTTTGACTGCGCAGGTGCCGACTGTTGGTGTTGCTCGTAGAAGGACATGAAGGAGAAAAATTTCTCCATCATGTTCTGATCGAAGCTTGCAGGTTGATTCGCGGGAGTCTCGGCAGAAGTTGCTCTTGTTGCCGTACCCTCCTCTGTCTGTAGGCCAGAGGCAGGAGGTGGAGTAGGAGTAGTACCCGAGGAGCCGTTACAGGAGCTCCTTTCCTTTTGTGTTGCCATGCCTTCTGACGTTGTAGATAGCTTGATAGTAGTTGAGTTCCCCCTGTTAGCTCTCATACCATGTTGGGCTGAGAAAAAGCCCTTAGGATCTTTGCAGGGCTGAACTCTGGGTAGGACTTGTTGTAATAGCGGAAGCGTTTTTTAATGAAGATTTATGAACCACCTTGCGCTGGTATGTGAGGGCAAAGTGAATTGATTAAAGCAAAGGGATACAAGATTATATAAGAGTACAAGGAATACGAAGAGATACGGTTCCAACTGTTTTACTGTTGCTGTTGCGGTTCGATACAGTGACGACTCGGGCAACTGCTCTGTAACGAGTCAGTTGTGTGTCCTTGCTGTCGCGCTGTATTTGTCAGGTCAAAGGTCGCTGACCTTTGACTTTCGCGTAACCTCCAGCAACTGCTCAACCTCCGAGGGTTGACTCGCCAGTGCTTCGATATGCTTCGCTTCGCTTCTGACTTGGTGTTTCGACACGACAGAGGCGCTAAATCAATTGTTTCCAACAGGCGAAAACCAGCTCGATCGCCTCGCCACGAAGATCGACCGTGAGATTGACGATCCAGAAAACATACAGTCACGACACCATTTCGCGATGCGCAGAAAAACTCGCATGTGAGTGTTATACGGGCTGCAAAATTTCACGAGCAGTGGCGAACAGAGTGTTTATTGTTTCTGCGTTTGAAAAGCGAAACCACACGTCGCACCTCTCTAGGTGGTAGTACGCTTGGGCGGTCGTGGTACAGTGATCGATAACGCAGTGAGCCCAGGATCTCCAACAAGGGATCGGTATGCAGCCACGATCCTTCGATGTTTGAACTTGCAACACGCCCTAAGGCGAACCTTCTTTATGGCGAAAGCTGGGTTGTGGAATGTGTGTTACTGCGAAGATTTTCGCCAGCCTATAATGCGAGCAGTGTCCAGCAATGTTGGTCACGATCCACCACCAGCAATGCTTTTGTGCAGCTGATGTGAAGCACCAGCGCCAGTCACGGCGACACTACCAACAGATCACTACATGACTCTTGGCCACATCTTCAGCACCATTTTCTGCACCCTTTTTCACAATTTGAGCAAATATAACCCAGATTGCGATGCATTCAAGGCCTAATCGCTGCATCCTCCCGCGGATGCGGTGGTGGATGCGGCGGCAGTGCTTTCGCGAGCTGCTGCTGCTCGTGCTCGTGCTGTCCGCGAGCAGCGGCGCGCGCGGCGTGCGGTTCACTTTGGACCGGAAGGAGTGTCTGACGGAATACGTCAACTGGGTGGGTGACGTCGTTCACGGCAACTTCGTCGTCGTTAGCGCCGACGCGTGGGGCGACTGGGAGCAGAACGGCGTTGACCTGGTGGTGAGTGGAACGGCGTTGACCTGGTGGTGAGTGGAACGGCGTTGACCTGGTGGTGAGTGGAACGGCGTTGACCTGGTGGTGAGTGGAACGGCGTTGACCTGGTGGTGAGTGGAACGGCGTTGACCTGGTGGTGAGTGGAACGGCGTTGACCTGGTGGTGAGTGGAACGGCGTTGACCTGGTGGTGAGTGGAACGGCGTTGACCTGGTGGTGAGTGGAACGGCGTTGACCTGGTGGTGAGTGGACCGGCGTTGACCTGGTGGTGAGTGGAACGGCGTTGACCTGGTGGTGAGTGGAACGGCGTTGACCTGGTGGTGAGTGGAACGGCGTTGACCTGGTGGTGAGTGGAACGGCGTTGACCTGGTGGTGAGTGGAACGGCGTTGACCTGGTGGTGAGTGGAACGGCGTTGACCTGGTGGTGAGTGGACCGGCGTTGACCTGGTGGTGAGTGGAACGGCGTTGACCTGGTGGTGAGTGGAACGGCGTTGACCTGGTGGTGAGTGGAACGGCGTTGACCTGGTGGTGAGTGGAACGGCGTTGACCTGGTGGTGAGTGGAACGGCGTTGACCTGGTGGTGAGTGGAACGGCGTTGATCTGGTGGTGAGTGGAACGGCGTTGACCTGGTGGTGAGTGGAACGGCGTTGACCTGGTGGTGAGTGGAACGTACGGCGTTGACCTGGTGGTGAGTGGAACGTACGGCGTTGCAGATAGTGATGTTCGCAGCTCACAGCGGCAGCCTGCTGGCTAGTCCACCTGGCGCGTGCTTCCAGTGGTCTCAGGGCCTATCAGTGCCTCGCATGTTGGCAAGCGTTGCTGTTGCGCCACTCTTCCCTGTGCTCCACGCTCACAGCCCCCGCGCCATCGTGCTACCTCCCCCCTTCCCCTGCCCCTCCCCCTCCGCCCCCTTCCCCCTTGTGTGCGGTGTGCAGATCAGCGACCCGGACGGGTACACGGCGTTCTCCACGGAGGCGCAGACGCAGGGCAAGTTCGAGTTCATGTCGCAGCGCGAGGGCGACTACCGCTTCTGCTTCTCCAACAAGTGCGCGGTGGGGGGGGGGGGGAAGAAGGGGAAGAGGTAGAGGGTGGGAAGGGGGGGAAGGAGAGGGATAGGAGGAAGAGGGATAGGGGGAAAAGAGGGTGGAAAGGGGGGAGTGAGGATGAGGGGGGAGGAGGGCAACACTGAGGTGAAGGGGGTGGTGGCGAGTGGCATGGGAGGGAGGCGAGTGGCATGGGAGGGAGGCGAGTGGTGAATGCTGGCCTGGCTTTAACGATAACCTAACATGTCTCCCTCCCTCCCCCGCTCCCTCCTGCCCACCCGCCTGTGCTGCATGGGGGGGGGGGGGGGGGGCAGGTCGCCGGTGTTTGAGACGGTGTCACTGGAGGTGTTTGTGGGCCACCAGGTGCAGCCCCACGAGATCGCCACCGACGGTCAGTCTCACTCATTCGCCCTCCTTTTCTGTCCTGCCTTATCTTCTCCCTGCGCTCTTTTCTCTCCAGCATTCATATTCCGTTCGCATTTCTTCTCTCTGATTCCCTTCTCCCTGCACCTTCTATTCCAGTGTTTTCTGTCCCTTGCCACCTCGTAGCAAAGTAGTGTCTCCAGGGTCTCATTGTGCCAATGTTTGCCTGCGGCACAAACTGCCTGTCAGCAGCAACCAGGCAACGCGGCACAGCCTGATGCGAGGGAGCGTTTGGAAGGCAAGCAAGTGCGCCCTTGCCACTGCTCTGCCCACGTCCTCTCATCGTCCCACTCATCACCACTCACTGCTGCTGCCCTACTGCACCTTCACTCCACCCGCTCCTCCCCCTCAGAGCACATACTGCCCATAGTGACCAAGCTCTCAGGGCTGCACAACCACATCACCAGTGTGTACTTCGAGGCCAAGTGGTTCCACGCGCAGGCAGAGCGCCAGAACCAGCGTGAGCGCCTCACCATGCCACCATGCCACCACCTATATTTCTTTGACAGCCAGATATTTCTACCTGGTTCTTTGAATGCATTTGCATTCTTGTTACTTGCCACGCGCATCGTCCAAGGCACACGCTGCACACCCTCTTGCTGCCACACGCTGCACACCCTCTTGCTGCCACACGCTGCACACCCTCTTGCTGCCACACGCTGCACACCCTCTTGCTCGCACACTCTGCTCTCCATCGTCACATGTGCTCCACCCCCCGCACCCCCCGCCACCTCCCCCCCCCCCCCCCCCCCCCACCCCCCGGTGCCACGCTGGCCGCCGTGTGCAGTGGCGCAGGCCACGACGCGCAAGCTGGTGGTGAAGACGGCCGTGCAGTCACTCGCCCTCATCACCTGCTCCTTCCTGCAGGCACGCCCCCTCCCACCCCCCTCACATGCTCCACCCCCCTGCATTTCCCTCCACTATGCACGCACGGCACGGCACGGTAGCATGCAGACCCACTCTCCTCATTGGATGCACTCACCCCATCCTCCTCTGCAGGTCTACCTCTTGAGGCGCCTCTTTGAGAAGAAGCTTGGAAGGACAATGGTGTGAATGGTCCATTGGCTTAGTAGGAAAGCATCACATAGGAGCAAACCGGAAGTTGAAGGGGCATGGCGCATCCACATGCGAATTCGTGACAACGTTCGAGTAATGGCAGGGTTACTGTGTTGGTCGGATCCGACAAGACCCTTGTCAATTTGCGAGAAACAATACGGTAGCAGGGAAACATGGCACGCCTGGAACAGGGTGTATGAACAGTGTACCCCGTGCGGTTCGCACGTTGTGTTCATTGCACATGGTTTGTGCCCGGAACTGCAGTGCGGCACGTAGCGTCTGATAACACACCGAGCAAGAAGGGTAGAGGATATTTTTGCCAAGGCATAATTCATCGCACGTCAGTCATCGCATTAGGCGGTGGTTTGGGGAAACGCACTTGGGTCCATACATGCTCGTTAATTGTTTATTCGAATGCTTGTACAGATAGGACCTTGCTCAATTGTGAAAATAATCAGTGCTCTTATAATATGGGTAGCCTTGGTATGCACCGCGTCCTTAGCATGTGGTGCTAGTGGGTGTCGAAGCATTTCCTATTGGAAACGAGTTCACTCAGAATTCGGAGTCTTCTCGTTTCCCTGCACCCGAATTCGAGATCATTCCTCCCTCTCCATTTCGCCGCACATTGCATCGCATCCACCCCCTCCATCCGCCATTCCGTCGTACCTCGCGACCAGGTTATTTACAACCTTAGCATCCATATTGTCGTGACTAGTCTAATCGAATCCCTCGCGAGTCGTTATTGTCGCGCATCAGGGGGCAGCATGGTGAAGGGCAAGAAGATTCTCTTCATCGTGGGCGACTACGTCGAGGACTACGAGGTACGCCGCCGCGCCTCACTGCGTCCCACCCGCTCTTTCCATCGTCTAAATTGCATCGCGGCATCGTAATTTTGTGTCGGAAATAGGCTCGTCAGGCTGCACGCGCGCGTCGATTGCCCGCGATGATCGGCGAGCTGACGCGCTGCGCGTGGTGCTGGGCGTGCATGGGCTGCAGGTGATGGTGCCGTTCCAGGCGCTGATGGCGTTCGGCTGCAACGTGGACGCCGTGTGTCCGGGCAAGAAGGAGGGCGACGTCTGTCGCACCGCCGTGCACGACTTCGTCGGCGATCAGGTGCGCGACTGTCGCTCGCTGCCTGGCAGCCGCCACTCCTCGCCGCGTGCTGCACAATACTACTACTGCTTTAATTGCACTCAGTATACGTGCGTACTCGGGACCATGCGCTGCTGTTAAGCTTTACGGTATCAATTCTAACTATCATGTAACGCCTGCGGTCGAGTGTTAAGGGCCGCTGCGCCTCAAATAACACCCGCGTTTTGACCCACTGTGTAGCCAGGCGTTATACTCATGACTCACATAATTGACGTACAGATTCGCAGAGGAAGTCCAGAAAATTTGTTAGGTTGGCCAGTTTAGGACAATCAGTCGATAATTCTCTCACCCACTGCTCCAGTAAAATCTGTGAATCCCCGTGGTCTAATCCTCTATCGACATATCCACCTCCCACCTCCCATTCCCCACTCCCACCGCCCACCACGCACGGCCACGAGGAGCAGACGTACGCGGAGTCGCGGGGGCACAACTTCGTGCTGAACGCCACGTTCGACGAGGCGCGCTGCGACGCGTACGACGCGCTGGTGGTGCCGGGCGGGCGCGCGCCCGAGTACCTGTCCGTGGACGGCCGCGTCACGGCGCTGGTGCGCGAGTTCCACGCCTCCCGCAAGCCCATCGCCTCCATCTGCCACGGCCAGCTCGTGCTGGCCGCCGCTGACGTGCTCAAGGTGCGCGTGCCGAGGGGAGCGAGGCCATGAGGTGGCGAGTGGGTGTACTTCAGAGGTCCCCCAGCAGTCCCACCTCAGCATGTGAGCGGGGGAGCATGTGAGAGAGTGATAGCGTATGTGTGTGAGAGCGTGAGAGTGTGAGAGCGTGAGAGTGTGAGAGCGTGAGAGTGTGAGAGCGTGAGAGTGTGGGAGCGTGAGAGTGTGGGAGCGTGAGTGTGAGCGTGACAGTGTGAAAGCGTGAGAGTGTGTTAGGGTTTGTGGGTGGGGCATCGCTCCCTCTCACGGCCACTCCCTCACGACGCCATCCTGAGTTGTGCCGCTCCCGTGTGGTGTGTGGTGCGTGGTGTGCGTGGGGGGTGCATGGTGAGGGCATGGCAGGGCAGCAAGTGCACGGCGTACCCGGCAGTGAAGCCGGTGGTGGAGCTGGCGGGCGGGCAGTGGGTGGACGCGGACCCCATCTCCGCCTGCCTCTACGACGACCAGTGCGCCCCGGGGGCATGGCCATGGGGGGCATGGCCATGGGGGGCGCGGGGCATGGGGGGCATGGCCATGGGGGGCATGGCCATGGGGGACATGGCCATGGGGGGCGCGGGGCATGGGGGGTTGGGGCCATGGGGGTGAGGGGGCATGGAGGTCTGGGAGGCATAGAGAGTTGTGGGGGGGAATGGGTGGCGGGGGGGCATCGGAAGGGAGGGGGAGAGTCATCTGGCGGGGGCGGAGATGCGGGGCCGGTGGGGACCACCCTCACTCCCTCCGTCACCCTCAGTCCCCCCATCACCCTCACTCCCTCCGTCACCCTCAGTCCCCCATCACCCTCACTCCTCCAGTCACCCTCAGTCCCCCCATCACCCTCACTCCCTCCGTCACCCTCAGTCCCCCATCACCCTCACTCCCTCCGTCACCCTCAGTCCCCCCATCACCCTCACTCCCTCCGTCACCCTCAGTCCCCCCATCACCCTCACTCCCTCCGTCACCCTCAGTCCCCCCATCACCCTCACTCCCTCCGTCACCCTCAGTCCCCCCATCACCCTCACTCCCTCCGTCACCCTCAGTCCCCCCATCACCCCCCTCCGTCACCCTCAGTCCCCCCATCACCCTCACTCCCTCCGCACTCACCCCTCTCACGCTCCTCTCACCTCCCCTCTGCCCCTCCCCTACGCGCCTCTCTGCCCTGCGCCACCAGGCACAACCTGATAACGGGGGCGGCATGGCCGGGCCACCAGGAGTTCCTGTCGCTGCTGCTGCTGGCGCTGGGCGCCAAGGTGCACGGCAGCGACAAGCGCGTGCTCATGCTGGCAGGGGTGAGCTGGCCGGGGTGAGCTGGCAGGGGTGAGCTGGCAGGGGTGAGCTGGCAGGGGTGAGCTGGCAGGGGTGAGCTGGCAGGGGTGAGCTGTGCGGGTGGGCTGTGCGGGGTGCTGCTCATGCTCCGCGGTGTCAGAGCCAACGCTGCTGCGTGCTTGTGTCTGAGGCTTGAAGGCTCAAAATGTTTGAAGTAAGAGCGTAGGGTTTTGGCTTCTTTGGTGTTGGGCCTGAGATGAGGGGGTGTCATGTATGGGTTCGATGTGTGGGGGATCCTTGGATCAACAACCCAGGTTTTGTATATCATGGCCTAACATGTTGTGTTCTCTCCCCATGCCTCGTGCGTGGTGCCCCGTATCGTCCCTGGCGGCGGGGTGGCGGGCAGGACTTCATGGAGGACTACGAGGCCATGGTGCCCATGCAGGCGCTGCAGGCGCTGGGGTACCGCGTGGACGCCGTGTGCCCTGACAGGCGTGCAGGGGACGTGTGCAAGACGGCCGTGCACGACTTTGAGGGCGACCAGGTGCGCGCCCTGCCCACTCGCTGTCATACAATGTCAAAGGGAAGGCAGCATGGAAAGGGTTGGGCTGCAGGTTGGCGATGGAAACATTTGTTTCATCTTGTTATCTTGTCATCTTGTGATCGTGGTATGGCTGACCACTGCCTGACGTGCAGACGTACACGGAGAAGCCGGGGCACAACTTTGCCGTCACGGCGGACTTTGACTCTGTCAGGGTGGACGACTACGACGCCCTGCTGCTGCCGGGGGGGCGCGCACCCGAGTACCTGGCGCTGAATGCGCGCGTGCTGGAGGTGGTGCAGCAGTTTCATGCCGCCCGCAAGCCCATCGCCTCTGTGTGCCACGGCCAGCAGATCCTCGCTGCTGCGGGCGTGCTCAAGGTGCGTGCAGGGCAAGGTGGGTGGGTGGGGCAAGGCAAGGTGTGTGTGTGGGTGAGCGGCAGAAGCTGGGATGGGAACAAGGAGTGGCAGCAGAGGGGTGCACCACACCACCACCCACTGTGTCCATCTCTGCTTCCCTTAACACCTCATCCCGTCGCTCTGTGTGTGTGGCAGGGCATGCGGTGCACGGCATACCCGGCAGTGAAGCCAATGGTGGTGCTGGCGGGTGGTGAGTGGCAGGAGCCGGACCCCATCTCGCGGTGCTTCCAGGACGGGCACCTCATCACGGGTGCCGCATGGCCCGCCCACCCCGAGCTCATCAGCCTGCTCATGGCCGCCCTTGGCACCACCGTCACTGCTTGACCGCTCACTGCCGTGCCTTCGCCAGCACAAACATGCCACCGCACACAGTGAAAGACGAAAGAACTCTGCTCCAGTACAAACTGGTCAAGAAGGGAGTGTGAAATTACTTTTTAATAAAAAAGGCATACGGCCACAGAACCTTACGGAGTTTAGGGTTTGAGGCCGTTCTATCTCGGATCTTGGGAGCGACAGGCGAGGATGGAAACTGAAAGGTCACGCGACGTTTCGAGGGTGGGGAACAGCTGACGGTGAACTGGCGCCTGCTGGAGCGAAGGGTTGGGGGCAACAAGGGGTCCGAAGCGGGGGCGGCACTTACGTACCGTCATCGCGCGGATATAAGACATATATGTCTTATCTTATACACTAGAAAAAATGCTTGGGTTGTCTAGTAATTGGGATGGTTTATGGTGTCTTATAATTCTTATAAATGGGTGAAGAAGATCAAAGCAGCACCTGGCAGCGGCAGTGGGAAGATGGGTTGTAATACAGCACCATGATGGGTGTTTGCGTGTATGCAAGTTTGTTTCCCTATGTTTGCAGGGTCACCCCAGTGACCCAACTGGATTTGCAGTCCCAGCAAGAGGTCGGAAAGGATGGCAAAGTAGCAGGTGTCAGAATCACTGTGCAGGAAATGGCTAGAAACAAGGCAGTACAGGTTTGTATAGGCTAACCCTAATTGGGGTTGTACCCCATACTGAGTAACCCACTATAGCCTAGCAAGTAGAATGCATTTTGACACACCCCCATAGGCTAAGTGGGGGACAATCAGATGGTCACAAGACCAGTCAAGCAAGAGAACAAGCAAAGCAAAGCTCAGGGTGGATCTCAAAGACACCACACAATCTGAGCACAGGCAAGCGGCCACAAGGCCAGTTCACATGCAGAGGTATAATAACAAGGCAGTACACTGATTACAACCTAGCAAGAGTAAACATGTAGGTATAAAGATATATATCAGTGTACAACAAGTGCAAGTCAAACAACCAGCAGGTGAGGCAGAGTGGGCACAAGCCCAAGAGCAGTGCAGAAACGCTGATGATCACCGGACCCAAGGGCCTTGGTGAACACATCAGCAGTGTTGGCCCGCGAGGCCACGTAGGAAAGGCGGAGCTGACGACGCTGCTGCAGCTCATGCGCAAGGAAGTAGCGAAGAGCAATGTGCTTCGTTCTGTGCTCCAGTCTCTGCTCGCGACACAAGGCAAGCATTGCCTTGTTGTCGACGTACAGAACTGGAGGAGAACGAGGCCGCTCCCCCAAGTCGGTCAGCAGGTAGGTCAGCCAGCGTAGCTCTTGTGCAGCCATGGCCCCAGCGCAGATCTCGGCCTCACAGCTGGAACCAAGCACCGAAGACGAGCGAGTGGACCTCCACGAGACAGAACCAGAGCCAAGAATGAAGGTGTACCCCTGTGACGAACGCTGAGTCACCTGGTCGTCGGCCCAAGAAGCGTCGGAGTGTCCTGTGAATACCACTGAACCCTGTCCTCCAAGCACGAGCCCCATGCCCGATGTACTGCACAAGTAACGCAGTACCCTCTTCGCAGCATCCCAGTGCACCTTTCGGTGTCTACCGGGTGCCACGTTGCGAGCCATATGAGGCTGAGAGGGTACGCGAGGTCAGGTCGTATGCACGTCATCGGGTACATGAGTCAACCCACAAGCTCTGGGTACGGACCACTCGGCTTTACGGACTCGTCCGAAGGTGGATCTGAGAGCGAGTGATTGGTAGACAGAGGAGTGGGCTGTGGCGAGGAGTACTGGAAGCCGAAGCGCTGAAGGACCTGGTGCACCATGTGTGACTGAGTCAGTGTGATGGTGCACCGTGCTCTGTCCCGGGTGATCTGCAAGCCAAGATAGCTCCGCAGCTCACCCAGGTCAGTGCAGGTGTGTCTCTCCTGCATCTCCGCCTTCACTAGGGCCAGCGCCTCAGTGTCAGCAGTAGCAAAGACCAAGTCGTCGACGTACACGGGGATGTAGAACGCCGTCAGGGTAGTGTCTGTGCGCAGAAACAGCGACGGGTCAGCTGTCGAGGGAGCAAAACCAAGAGCCGCAAGTGTCGTCCTCAGTGTGTCGTGCCACTCGCGGGGCGCCTGACGCAGGCCGTACATTGGTCGCCGTAGGCTCCACTGGGTACCCTCAGGAAATGACCCAGTGAAGCCCTCTGGACGGCGCAGCCAGATGGCCTCGTGAAGGCTACCCTGCAAGAAAGCTGTCGAGAAGTCGAGGGAGTGCAGATCGTAGTCATGCTGAGCTGCAACGTGTAGCAACACCCGAAGAGTGGTCATCTTCAGGGTGGGGGAGAAGGTCTGAAAGAAATCGACCCCCGCACGCTGACTGAAGCCTCGAGCAACGTAACGTGCCTTGAAGGCAAGCGGAGAACCCGGCGGCCGCTTCACCCTGAAAATCCACATGCCACTGACGATGTTCGCCCCAGGTGGAGGAACCTCGTCGACGTAGGTGCATGTGGACTTCCACGAAGCCATCTCTTCGTCCATGGCTATCTGCCACTGAGAGGAATACTCACCCGAGATCGCCTCTCTGTAAGAGCGCGGGGTGGGGATGTCAAGTGCATCCGGGTCTCCCTCAGGGGCAAGCAGCATTGTCGCGAGATGAGGTGCAGCGGCCGCAAGACACTCCAGCTCCTCCTGTCTGTCCTCAAGAACGTCACAGCCAAGGGCAACCTCACCCCCAACGGACGGAGGACAGGCAGGGTCAGGGTCAGAAACAAGACTCGCAAGGTAGTCTAGGCGGTGCGCAGCAGCAAAGTCAACTAGCTCAGCGACTAAGGCAGACGCAGCAGGAGACGAGAACGTAGGGTGAGTCACAACTGTAGCAAGAAAGCGAGTGACAGTCGGACTGGAAGCACGAGCAAGGTCACACGGAGGGTCAGCAACGTCAGGAAGCGAAGACGTAGGAGGTGACGGTAGGACAACACGCTGTGGAACAGAGGAAGGACGAAGTGTCATATCGTGGGTGACTGGGACAGCCGGAGCACGAGGACGACGCACACGACGAACACGAGCAGGAACGGAAGCTCTAGTCTCAGGCTCTCGACGCTAAGGAGTGGAAGCACGAGTCTCAAGCTCTCGACGCTCAGTCAGGGACTCTATCACAGCAGTGTAAGGAGCAGGAGCAGGCAGTGGGGAGTGAGGCAGTAGCTGTGGGAACAGTAACGGAGGAGTAGTACCAGCGACTGGGAACTCAGTAGGAGCTGGCGGAAGACCGAGAAGGTGGCGAAGCGCACCAGCAGGTCCAGCACCAGCAGCACCTCCAGCACGAGCAGCTCCAGCTCCTCCAGCACCAGCAGCACCAGCACCTCCAGCACCAGCAGCTCCAGTAGCACCTCCAGCACCTCCAGCACCAGCAGCACCACGAGCTCCGGCAGCGCCAGCACCTCTAGCACCAGCAGTACCTCCAGGACCTCCAGTGCCAGCAGCTCCAGTAGCACCTCCAGCACCTCCAGCACCAGCAGTACCACCTGCTCCGGCAGCTCCAGCACCTCTAGTACGAGCACCTCCAGGACCAGCAGCTCCAGCACCTCCAGTACCTCCAGTACCTCCAGCTCCAGCGCCTCCAGTACCTCCAGCAACTCCAATGCCAGCAGCTCCAGTAGCACCTCCAGCACCTCCAGCACCAGCAGTACCACCTGCTCCGGCAGCTCCAGCACCTCTACTACGAGCACCTCCAGGACCAGCAGCTCCAGCACCTCCAGTACCTCCAGCTCCAGCGCCTCCAGCACCAGCAGCACCAGCACCTCCAGTGTCAGCAGCTCCAGTAGCACCTCCAGCACGAGCAGCACCACCAGCTCCGGCAGCTCCAGTACCTCTAGTACGAGCACCTCTAGGACTAGCAGCTCCCGCAGCTCCAGCACCAGTAGCACCAGCACCTCCAGTGCCAGCAGCTCCAGTACCCCCAGCACCTTCAGCACTAGCAGTACCACCAGCTCCGGTAGCTCCAGCACCTCCAGTACGAGCACCTCCAGGACCAGCAGCTCCAGCACCTCCAGCACCTCCAGCTCCAGCAGCACCAGCACCTCCAGTGCCAGCAGCTCCAGCACCTCCAGCACCAGCAGCACCTCCAGTACCTCCAGGACTAGCAGCTTCAGTACCTCCAGCACCAGCAGCACCTCTAGTACCTCCAGCAGTACCTCCAGCACCTCCAGCACTAGCAGCTCCAGCACCAGCAGGACCGTACCCTCCACCACCAGGACTGCCTCGCCGAACGATCCACGCATGAATCGCCTGCGGCGAGAGCGTCTCAAGTAGATCAGGCTGCGGTGGCTGTCCAGCTCCACGACCTCTAGTAGGGTCACCCACAGCTCCACCGCCACTAGGACTCGCAGCACCCCCAGAGTCAGCACCCCCAGTCGCAGCACCCCCCAGAACCAGCACCCCCAGTCGCAGCACCCCCAGGCGCAGCACCCCCAGAACCCTCACCCTCTGTCTCAGCACCCCCAGGCTCAGCACCAGCAGTCTCAGCTCCAGAGTCCACAGTAGCAGGCTGCAGAGGCGGCGAAGACGGCCGAGGCGGAAAAACAGGGGGGGTCTCCAAGTGTGGAGAGCGGCGAGTGGCCGCCGTGTCGTCAGCGGCGGGATCACCCCCCTCAGCTGGGCCAGAGGAGTCAGAAGAGATCTCCACATGCTCAACCAAGGGGGGTGGGTCTACCCGAGACACACTAGAGGGAGCAGGACCCTGTGGGGGGAGGGGGTCTACCGGGGGGGGGACTGGTACCAGGAAGAGAGGCGCGAGGGGGACCGGGTGGGACGCGTGCGGGTGTAGCCTATAGAAACAGACAGACTCGTCAAAGGTGACGTCCTGGGAGGAGAAGACTTGACGCGAGCGCGGGTAGTAGAACTGCCACTGCGGGGCGTCGGTGGGGAAGCCAAGGAAGACGCAGCGGAGAGTGCGAGAGGAGAGCTTGCTCGCTTTGGCATCGCGAACAAGGGAGAGCGCGCCCCAGAACCGAAACGCCGACGCATCGCCAACCTTCCCCGTCCACCGGA